ATTACAAACTAAACAGCCTACAGTATTTTTACAGTTTTTATTTTAGTTAAAATAAATGTTTATCAAATGAAAGTTTATGTTACAACTGATAGTGGATCCCTTTAAGCACACGTCGGTTATGACACTCAGCTACTACCACACCAAATTTGAGCTAAATATCTGCAAAAAATCACCAAGTAGTAGTAACTTCAGTGTGGGCTCAGACCCTAGCTGCGGCAGCCATCTTGAATTGGGCCAACTCCAAAACTGTATCAGTTGTAGATCTTCATCCAAATATAACTTCCTGAGAGTTTAATTTAAAACATGTCCAGTGGTTTTTAGATATTTTGCTAACAGACAAGCAATCACAGTCATTTTTTATTTGATTTTGATTGGCTGTGTCAGCCATTTTCAATTGCGTTGAGTCCAAAAGTTAATCAGCTGTAAATGAATAACCAGTGATGACTTACTGAAAGTTTCATTAAAATCTATGCATTGGTTCAAAAATATTTTGCTAACAGACAGGCAAGGTTGATTCAAACATTTAATAGCACAGTTTTACACACCAATGAGATCTGATGCTGCTCAGAGTTGGGCATCAGTCTCAGCTACTACAGCAGAAATTTTCAGTGTAATTTCTGTAAAACTGATAGAGATGCTGTGGGACGCATTCTTGAATCGAGTCATCTCTAAAAGCAAATCGGCTGTAGACGTACACGCGGTGAGCACTTCCTGAACGTTTCATTGAGATCTGCTCAGTGATTCATGAGATATTTTGCTAACGGACACGAGCGTTAAAGGTTAGAGGGAAGACTGGACGGATAAACGACGAGCGGTAGAACAAGAGTTTTTTCTTAGGACCTCCTCAAACTGGCTTGTCAGCGCAATATTTTTTCTTGTTCACATCTTTTTTTTTTTTTTACTAGGCCTTCGTTTTATATTCCGTTTACAAGACTTCGGAGCCAATACCTGCCATAACAATGGTGTGGGTGAGGAAGCAAAATGAAAGGYTGACGGCATTGCCTGTCATAAATCTGCCTGCAGATACTAACAAAATAAAAAACGAAGGGGGAAAAAAAGCCCATTTTTGTAGCATGTTTTTGATGGGAAGTCTCTAAACATGTTGCTCCCATGGGTTCACTATGCAGTCGAGGGTTATGGGAATTTTGAATAGAGGAAGGTGGGGCGGAGAGAGAGAAAAAGAGAAACACATAAAAGAAAGAAAGTGAAGACGTCAGGGGGAGGAAGTGTAGCCTGAATATAAATAGAAAAGAGTCTAAGATCTGGCTGCTGCTATATATGGAGATGGCTGTGAGTTCTCCGACCCGTGTGTGTGTGTGTGTGTGTGTGGGGGGGGGGGGGGGGGGGGGGGGGGGGGCAGGTCGATTGATTTATGCGACCGTTGTCATTGATGTTCGCTGAGGAGCAAAACAAATGCTGGACAGTTACTCTGCGAGTCCTGAGTGAACCCATGCATTAGCTGATATTCGTCATGTTGAGGATGGCATTTATTGAGGAGAGGGTAACGGATGCCCTCTTTCAGCCGAGCTGCTTTCAAGGGCTCGTTTGGAGACGAGTTTTTCTTCCTTTCTTTTTGTTTTATCCCTTCTACATATCACAGCCGAAGAACAGCTCTCAGGCCCTCTCTGTAGTGTACATTACAGCTAACCGTTATGAATTAAACACTGATGTTCACATGACGCACCACTAGGTGGCGAGAGCGTCCATGCTGACGACACAGCAAAAAGCAGAATAGGAGCGTGATTAACTTGGCTAAAGATTTTGCGTAAAAAATAATAATAAAAATGTAACTAATGTTCACAATTTTCAATGTGTTGCTACTTATTTCAGCACGACAAACTTTGAAGGGTAATGTCTGATGCTAGAGCATTAGCATGCTAGGCTAATGGCTAGACAAATGACGGCCATTTTTGGTTGAGCAGGGAAAGGAGAGGTAGCAAATTTATTTCTAGAGGCAGAGCGGTTTGGGAAGTGGTTGTTGGATTTTATTTATTGTTTTGGGTTGTTGTTTTTTTTTTTATGCCCTACAGGATCTGAGACATAAAATAAATTTGAAGCTACGTTTTCGAAAAAAAATCTGGGATTTCGTTTCGGGGGAAAATCTGTAATTTACAGACAATCCATACAACTTGGCATGTATGACTATAACAGCCTTTTCCCAGAAACGACATACCAGTGTGACAAAACACTATATTAGCTAAAGACAAAAACCTCTACACTTCTACATGACACCATTTATTGCTGTTTTAACATTGTTTAGGTCAGTGGTTCCCAAACTTTTTGTCTTCTGACCCACAAAATATCCATGGCAAAAACTTGTGACCCCAAATAATACAGGTCTGAGTACAGGAACTTCGTTAATAACCCTAAAAACACAGGCTTTTTGATGATCTAAACAGCTTGTACACACATATAAATACTTATTTTTACTTATTTTGTGTTTTTGTAATAACTATAAGAAAAATATTACAGCAGCAATTATTTTATTACCCTTTAAAGTGATTTCTGGAGATTATCCAAGGTGCTTCATGACCCATAATTGGGTCCCAAGCCCAACTTTGGGAACCAAAGTTCAGTGGTTCCCAAACTTTTCAGCTTTTGACCCACAAAATAACAGTAGCAGAGGCCTGTGGCCCCAACTGTTTCTGGATGATAAACATTTGTATCGGGTCAATTAAACATGGACAAAGTAACAATATTTTTATACTACATTTATCCATTTTAAATACACTAACCTCACTCCTTCGTAACAACTAAGGCAAAAATGTAATTAATTCAGAAAATCTTTTCAGGACCCCACCTTGAAGTTTTGGGACCCCACTTTGGGTCCCGACCCTAACTTTGGGAAACACTGGTTTAGGTTACCACCCAAATGTACAGTATTAGCATAGACCATATGTATACTGACAGTAGTCAGATTCAGGTGTCACGCAAGAGTGTAGGAGTTCGAAATTTGCTGATGTAGCATTCATACGAACTTTCTGAGAAAGAGTTTGTTTTATAAGCCTCCTCGTTTAGCTAGCCGTTAGCCTTAGCGAAGACTTCTGCCCTTTTCTCCACACTGCTGGTTGACCGATGTAATGGCTCGTGTGTGTCTGACAAAACATCATTTCAAAATTAACWACCCCTTTAGGTCATGTTCAAAAARTTCTTCCTTTGTCCTTTAATGTCATAATGTTAATGATATCGCCTCCTACTGGTACAGCATGGTAACTGTAGAGTTGTATGGGAACTTCTTGCCTGTTTGAASAATATTATCGTTTATCGCAGTAATTTTTGAGACAATGCATCGTCCAGTAAAATTTGTTATCGTGACAGTCCTAGTTTGAAACCATTTTAATAATGCTTTGATAATATTTAAAAGTAATGAGAYTGTGGCCTTACAATCTAAAATTTAAAATGTCGTAGAAAAGTTTGACAATTATTTTGTCTAACTTATCAAACAGATAAGATGAAGTTATTAAAAATACAGTATGTCATTGTTTTGATGATCTGCAACATGTTGAACCACTGTAAAATGAGACGACTTGATCTAAAGTCCTCAATGCTGCAAAAGCAAATTTCTTTGGACTGTGAGAGGAAACCAGAGTAACMAGAGAAAATACAGCCTGGGGCTTGAACCTAGGAGCTTTTTGCTGTGAGGCTACAATGCTAAACACTGAGCCGCAGTGCTTTTAAAGGTTTGTGTTCAATAAAGCTGAATTGATATAAGCCCTACAAATTGCACGTCTTCATGGAAACWTTGCTAAAAGGACACACAACTGCCTAACTCTGAACAAGGACACCTGTCAGATGAGCTCATTTTGCAGCCCGACTCCCCCTGGAAGCAAAAATTCAAACTCTTGTCAAAAAGCTTTGCTGTGACACCTTTAAATCCTCCTCCCTGCGCATCCTCACACGTCCCACCAGAGTCGACTGCAACTACGTCCCGCTGCTAAAGGCAAATTGGTGCAGCACTTTTCCCATCCCTCCAGGAAACCGTTTTTTTTTTTGTCCCCTGTTACTAGCTACTTCCTGACAAAAAGGGGGCCAATCCTTCACTGTTAAAACACCAATACCACCGAGATGGAAACAAAAAGTTACTATAAAGAAATAAAAGATATTGCAACGGTAAAAGCCTGCTTTGTTTTTTATTAAGGTGGCTGCCACAGCTAATCAACCTTAACACAAAAATGGCTTTAACGTAGTCAGTTTTATAGATATCAAGCTGAAAATCGGTGTGGTAGTAGCTGAGGGTCATCTCTAACACATGTTTTGAGCAATAACAAATTGAGCAGGATCTTTATTTAAAACTTTGGCGTTAACATACCTGTTTAGAAGTCAGTTTTATCAAGGATCCTTCATAGCCCTGATTAAAGAAACAAGAGATTAGAATGCATGTTTTAAAACAGTACAGTATACGACTAATGACTAAATTAGGTTATCATATCTTACGCAGACCAAATGGATTGTAGTGTTGCATTTTAGCTGATTAATCAAGACCTGCTGCTTTCCACAGTCATGATAGAAACCATTTACTCTAAGAACTGCCAGAAAGCTTTGTCTAAGACATGGATTACTTGCTTTGCAAATTATTTATTATTCGTTCCAACAGTGCTCCTCTCGTGCCATTTAGCTGCATTATTCTTCTGTGATGGTCAACAAAAAGGCCCCACAAACATCCACACAACAATACAGCTTAATTAAGCCTCTGTAACAAAGCAGRGTTTATTTTGACGCAGTTGAGACATTTGCTGACTCAGCGATTACATTAGTATTTTTTCTGCACGCCTTTCAGTCAAACTACTTCCACAAATTTTAAGCTGTTTTAACTGTTCGTGCGTGAAGATGTTCGGCTTGATCAGGATTAGGGTGTTTTTAAATTATTATGCTGTATTAAAACATTTTTTAAATAGAACTACGCTGTTCTGTTTAAGTCCTTTAAACCATTGATCTCTGAAATTTGTCATCATAATAGTTTTACAGTTGTATTTTGTGCTTCTTTTAACTTTTAGCTACAATCTTGCTAAAATAAGTTTTAGTTGATATTTTGCCAATTCTAACGTTTAGTTACAGGTGTACCTGTTTAAATGTCAGGTATTGTTTTAGTAATTGTACCTTTTAGTTACAAATGAGCTCATTAATTTTAATAAATGTTAACTTTTAGCTTGTGCTAATTTTATCTTTTTTTCACTGTCTTCATAACATTGGGCCTCATGCAAGAACCGTTCGTACGCACAGATTTGTTCTTAAGTTGTGCGTACGAGTGATTTAGGAGAATTTGTGGCATTCACCAATGTTTTCGTATTCTAAGATTTTTTTCAGATACGAACTAAATTCACGAGTGGTCCAGACCTGTYGTATATTTTACGAGCAGTCAGTCTGCTGTTATCCAGACGGGTTTTGCTCCCTAAGAACTTTATCTTTCGTTAGTTTGAAGATATTTTGAGTTGAAAATAAATCACACTCCATAATTATGTTGACAAACGGCTATTCTGCTTGAATTAGAGTTATAATTTTAAATGTAATAATTTAGACTAACAATATAAATTCTACGTCCGGCCGGCTTATCCATGATCGGGTCGCGGGGGCAGCAGGAGACCCCGCTCTCCCCAGCGACACCTTCCAGCTCGTCCTGGGGGACTCTGAGACGTTCCCAGGCCAGAGGGGATACATAATCCCTCCAGTGAGTCCTGGATTTTCTCCAAAGTGCCAGACTTATTTTGAAAACATTTTAAAATGCTTATTTCAGAACCGCAACTGAGACCACTTGAGACGGTGTGCAGCGCTGTGGCTTCTGAATAAATGAAAATTATTTAACACAGTTGTTTATACTTTTAGCAGCTGATTTTATTCCACGGCTGACCTGCTAAAAATGACAGATTTTCTTTTCTGGATCTCTGACAGACGGACTTCAATCTCTGAACTCGTAAAGTTTTTCTTTTTAATTTTCACTGTCATTTTTCATGAATGAACACTTGTATCTGAGGCAGGAAACACAGCCTCATATGGTGTTTTTGGGGTGGTAATCATGCTAATCTCCTCTCGCGTGCACGAGCAGCTGGATAGAACAGGTGGAATTTACGCAGCTCATTTACACACTTTTCCTGAAGATAGAAGMGTTTGTTGAATCTGACGTGACATGTTCGTAYGAACCCTTTGTACRAACAAAAGTAAGAGAAATTTAGGATAAGAATACTAACATGTTCTTGCATGAGGCCCAATGATTCTTAGGTACTGTCTTACCTAATTTAGCCTTTAGCTGGTTTTGCTAACAATATGATTTAGCTATTTTGTGAGTTTTAACTTTTATCTACAGTTGCACTACTTTCAATGTTTAGCTTTCATTTGGCTAATTTCACATTCTTGCTTCAATTATGCTCATTTATTTTTTTACTGCTTTTTTACTGCTTTTTACTTTTACGAAAGTGCTGTGCTAAGTTTAGCTTTTAGTCACTCTCTTGCTAACTTTAACTTTTAGGTACTGTCTTGCTTATTTTTTACCTTTTAGACACACTTTCGCTAATAATGTGCTTTAGCTACTATTTGGGGGATAACATTTTATTTAGTTTTTAGCTATAGCTTAGCTTATTTCAGATTTTTGCCAATTTTATGCTTATGTAATTTCTAACTTCTGTTGTGTTAATTTTAGCTTGTTGCCACAAAGCTACTTGCAGTGATTTACCTCATTTTAGCTTTCAAGTTCTGTTTTGCTAATTTTAGCTTTTAGCTTCGTTTAATTGATTTTAGGTTATTCTCTGCCAATTTAAAACTTTAACAAAAGAAAATATAAACTCATTTCAGCAAAAATTTTCAGAATTTGGAGAAAATGCAAATTGTTTTGTTTTACTTTATTGTTCTTTCCATGAGAAAGACGTAAACCTGATCAAGATGTGATTGAGCCTTGGCTTCAGGAGCACAGACGCTCGAACCATTTGGCCGAGTTTCCATTGCCGTTCATTTCATCACCATTAATGGAGGTCTCATTGTCTGCTGGAAAGAAAGCAGCTAAGAATAGCTCGCAGCCCATCAGCGTAAAACATACAAACATACCTTAAATGGTCTGAAGAGGAGATACAGCTCGCGGGGTTTGATATCCAGTGGAAGCCCGCTGACAAACAGTGTTCGGACCTGAGGAGTATAAAAGAAAAGAGATCATGTATTTTCCAGTCACCTTAATAGTTATAAAAAGCTACTTTGCCTTTCTGGGCTGAGATTAAGGAAAAAGTACAGTGAACATAAGTTAAACAGTTACCTGAGTCCCTCTTAAGTTTTTTTCAAACACAGCTAGATCAGAAAGCATTCCTTTTTACAGTATTGTGTTCTCTTGTGTAAAGTAAAGCTYGCTGCGTTTTATGGGCAATTCTCCCTTGAAGTTTGAGCCTCTGTTTTACATTTGAACTTTTCAACTTGCAGCCTGAGCTGGATTGCTGGGGAATTATAATGTACTGTATGTGTTAGCTATGGTGGACGAGGTGGAAAATGGGACTGGGAGTCAGGGAGAGTGCAGAGGACCAACAGAGAGATGACTACGAAAGTGCTTTTGGGCAAAGAAGGTGCCGTTATGTGAGGTTGCGAGTGCAGATGAAGAGAAAATTAATGCAGAGTGCAGGTAACGAGAGTTCATTCAAGTAAAGTTTGTTAAAAAAGAAGACAACGACAAAAGTAACTTTCTAACTCTACAATAGAGGTGAGCACAGCTAACCAAAAAGCTAGCTTTGCTAGTTCATAAGGCGCTAACTAAAACTATGCTAATGCTAAACACGTAAAACAAACCTCTAAACAGCTTAAAATGTACAAATTTGCTGAAGATAACACTAAAAGGTAACCCCCTAAGACTACTGTGACTCAGTCTGCGTCACACGTCTTTGTCTCTTTTGAGCAGAAGACTGGTGGGACTGACACAAACCTGTTGATGTTCGATTGTTAGTGTAGGGGTCGCCTCGAGTGAAACAATCAAGGAAACTGACTTAGACCTCAGTCCTCTGATGGACCTTTAAAGGGACAAAAACTTTGTTCCACTTAGAACTGAATTTAGGCCACCTCAGGTCGCCTTAACTTGTCAAAGAGACATTCTATTTTTCTTAATCAGATAATAGACAGAAGAATCTTCTTATTATTTGATTTATTGTTCTCTTAACTGAAAGTTATTACACATTTTGATAATCAGAGAATGTTTATCAAAGTTACAGGAGAAAAGAGGACAGATCTCTTTTCTCCCTCAGTGTGATTTCAGCTATGTATGGATTTTCTGTACAAAAATCTTATTTAACTAAACTAATCTTTATGGTTTAAAGTTGATTAAACACGTGTTTTTTTCTTGTCTGAATCATATTTGCAAATGTTTTGAATTTGAAGCAATTCATTACTTGTTATGTTTTAAAGAAGTTCTCATCAGATAATAATTAAATAGGTCATGATATGTTTGTTTCTGAACTACACCGAAGCAATAATCTTTGTTTAGCTTCAGGAGGCGACAGCAAGTCTTAACACTTTCCTTGATATCTTCTTTTTCTAATCTAACCTCTGAAGGTGGAACTAGGAAACTATTAATGGACTTAAACTTGGCAAAAAACGAATTTAGAAGCTAACTGGTCTGCTAATGATTTCCAAAGTTGTTGAAAATGGTAATCCGCTAAACAAAAAATGTGTTCTGCTGTAGCTGTTATCTGATTAGCAAAACCATACCCACTACTGCTCTTTAGCATTACATATTATTTGAAGGAGAAGTGCAAAACCTTAAATAAAATTAAAACTTGACCGGTAAAAAAAAAACAGTTTAGATGTTCTGACCAGAGTGAGGAGCCAGCAGATAGTTTGAGAGCTGCACAGACCTCTAAACAACTTTAATCCAACTTCTGAAATGACCTGAATTGAGCAATTTTTTTTCTTAACCAATAAACTCAYTCTTTTTATATTGTTTGTGGATGAAATGTATTAAATAAGTTAAATGAATAGAATAGAAATACTTTATTGTCTGTCCCAAATGGGGCCATAAATTTTTATTTGACAGAGCTCCAAGATACACACAAAAGACACACTAAAACACACACAAGGGGATTGTTTATGCAACTTTAATATTAGTAACAAGTGTTGCTATAACTTATTGTTAAATGCCACTACTGATGAAACACTAACTTTTAATAACAACACATCACTTCAAAGATGACTGGACTATCTTTAAGCAAATTAATGAGATGCTTATAAATGACTCAGCTATAAAAGCTTGAAGATAATATTTGTACATTTGTAATTACAAAAAGAGAATGTTCTGTACCCTGCCGTTAGTTGGGCGGAGAGAGAATCTAATAGATTTTTGATTGAACATTTTTTATTATGAACATGCAGTTACATTTTTATATTTAACCATTGATAAGAAATAGATATATTTTGAGGTAGGTGAACTTTTAGAGACATCAGATTTGGCCAAAATCAACATCGGCAAGTGAACGAACAAAAAGTGGACTTTAGGATTAAAAACAACCCCTTATGTCAAGAAAGAGATAAACTTTTATTTTTAACATTTTGGATTAAATTATTAAAATATTTTTCCCAAAAAACTTCCCAAAAAATCTGAATTGACCAAGAAGACTGCAATCTGTAAATCTCTAATATTAACTGGGTAATTTAAAAAATTGGTCCAGTCTAAAAACTGAAATCGGCCTAAAAAAAAACAGTAAATGTTTTAATGGACAACGCGGTTTTGSTGTCTTAAAAGAAGGATCTGGTGTGAACTGCAGCTAGCTCTTTCAGCACGTGTGGACCCATTAACACCAGTGTTAGCATTCGGTAAACACAGCGGTACAAAAAAGCACAGGTGCTGAGAGGTCCGGTTCTGGTCCTGAGTGCGGATCTGGTTGCAGTGAAACAGGAAATTCTATTAGCTGCGTGTAATTGTAGATTGTGTGTGCGTGTGTGCGTGTGTGTGTGTGTGTGTGTGTGTGTGTGTGTGTGTGTGTGTG